CTTCGGGAAGTGCTGTTTTTCTTTTTCTCTCTCCTTGTTTTGGTTCCCCCAGCCCGACCCTTTGTAGCTGCTTCCAAAAGGCAGTATTTCTCCCCCACCCCCATTGTCTGACTGCAGTATGCAAACCTCTAGACAGGAGCACCGAAAAGCCCGGGACAAACAGTGTTACTGTGGGATGCTACTGGATCTGACTGGAGTGTGTGATATTGCTGTTAATTAATTTTTCCCACCGCCGTCATCTTTTCCCTGGAGAGGGGCAGCAGTAGTAGTCAGGACGCTCACGACAAAGGCGCGTGGGTTAAAATCCGGACCTTGTTAACCTTGGTAAACAGTAATTCAGCAGTCACCTCTGTATAACTGACGTGAGAATTCAGCCCTGTGACTTTCAGATGATTAATATTCATTTGTGTAGGATAATAGAACAGCCTGGAGAGCAGCTTGGGAGTCAGCGCAGTCAAAGTTGCCGTATAAGAACAAAAGGGGGAGTTTATTTGCAATCACGTAGAAGATAAAATATGCATCAAGCGGACATACTGTCTTCCTTCTGCTTTATCTTTTGTGACACAAGTAGCTCGTCTGTAGATGAGCGTTTTCGTGCATAGCAGTGACATTCACTAGATTTGGAAAACTCCTCCTTTTCCTTCATTAGACAAGAACAAGTGACAAGGGGTAGTGGGTAAAAAGTTAGGAGCTTGAAATCCCATCCGGTCATTCAGTTTATGTCAGGGGGCAGATTAAGGAGTTGGGGTTTTTTCTTTGGTTAGTTCCCATTTTTTAACTGTATTGTGAAAGGTATTAAGAAAATGTGCAAAGAGTTGTGTTAATAGTGCTGTTTTGGTAGCGACGGTTATTTGTTGCTTGCACGTCAAAATGTTTCAAGTGTTGAAGGAGCAAAAAGCGAAGCAGCTTGGAGATATGTAATTGTTCCTAGTGCTTGGCTGCCAGGTGTTCCTGGAATACATTTTATGGCATTAGGTCTAAGTGAATCATCCCATTAAAAGTTGGTGGTCTGGAAGGTGGAGGAGCAACACTTAACTTTCGTCAGGAGATTTCTGATTTTTTGCTTTGAGGTTTAGATTCAGGGAAAACTGAACAACTTTTTGGCATTTTTCATTTGCACTGAAGGGTGATGGGAACATTTTTTTTCCTGGAGGCCGTTGGGTGTCCAGTAATGTCCGTGTGTGTCTGCTGGGAGGACACCGTTCGTAAATTAGGGTGCTTAACTTGGGACTTGTGAAAAATTGGGGGCTCTGGGGACAGCTGCTCTTAATAGAGCTGGTCAGTTTCATTCCATTTGTGGCCATGGACCGGTGGCCTGTACATCCCAGGATTCATCTGGGGAGGAGGGCGGCCAGCTGCGCCTGGAGGCTGAGCGCCCCGGCCACCTGCTTCTGTGCGCCTGGGGCCTGGGGGCTCAGTGCGGCTTTTAAGAAGCTGGTCAGTTACTTTCCGCTGGTGGCAATGGAGTCCGTGGGCAGCCCCCTGGAGCCTCCACCCCCTGGTCAGCCTGGGATAAAAGAGTCTGATCAGTTTCCAGGAATTAAAGTAAATTGAGGACTGGCTTGGGGAGAAGCACTCTTTAAAAGCCACAAAAGCTCTGACAGCTCTGCAGTGTCCAGCTCCCTGAAGCCCAGGAGCAAGGGTCCAAACAGCCCCAAATCCTACAGACACACCTCGGCACCCCCACTCAGGGGGTGACCACACAGATTTCAGTAAGGTGTGGGAATGGGTCTTTACTGAATCATAAAATCAATAGAAAATTAGAGTTGGAGGGAGGTCATCTCGCTAGTTCAACCTTCTGCTCAGAGCAGGACCATCCCCCAGCTGTATCATTACAGCCAAAGCTTTGTCTACCTGGGTCTTAAAAACCTCCAAGGATAAAGATTCCCCCAGCCAAGGCGTTGTCTACCCGGGTCTTAAAAACCTCCAAGGATAAAGATTCCCCCAGCCAAGGGGTTGTCTACCTGGGTCTTAAAAACCTCCAAAGATAAAGATTCCCCCAGCCAAGGCGATGTCTACCTGGGTCTTAAAAACCTCCAAGGATAAAGATTCCCCCAGCCAAGGCGTTGTCTACCCGGGTCTTAAAAACCTCCAAGGATGGAGATTCCACCACCTCTCTGGGTAGCCCGTTCCAGTGCTTTACTACCCTCCTCCTCAGAAAGTTCTTCCTAACACCTATCCTAAATGTTTCACTTAAGACTGAACCGAATGTTAGTGAGAAGGGGGACCAGAAAATTGCAATTGGGCTAGGTATCCACTACCATGCCTTAGTGGTGGTTCAACAGCACTGCAGTGCCTAAAAAGTGATGGTTTTAGTAGTTGCAACTGTTAGCAGTGTGCATGCGGAGACCTCTGACCTGGGACAGTTGTGAACTGGTTTCCAATCGGTGACATTCTTGGAACAGTTCAAGCACCCTTAGGATATTCTGCTGGCGCTTCAGGGAGTCTAGTGTGTCAGAATATGATTGTTTTACTAAGGTTCTACAAAGTGACTTGTTTTATTACCTGAAATTTAGGGAGAAGTCCAAGGATGGCTTCCTCAAACAGTCTGAATAGCCAAAACCGAGGTGCATCTTAGAGGTTTGCCCCTAATGCCTCTTTTCCAGTTGAGAGGCATTTTCAAAGAGTCTTGCAGCCTTTAACTGGGCAAGTACCATTGGTTAGTTAGAAAGGTCCTCACCTTCTGACCATTTCTAGGAAAACAGAACTTGCTTTGTTTATTTCTGCTGACTGGGTGAGAGGAGGGAATGGGAGCACAAAATAGATCCAATGATTGCATCTTGTCAAGCGCAAGCTTATTGCCACACTGATCTGCCAGTGCTCCTCAGTTATCACCTGCTGCACCCCTTTATCCCACGCTTCTCTTTTTTCTTCCCATTCCCTGGTCCCTGGGTGTACCTCAGTGACACGAAACATCCCCACCAATCTCAGAGAGAAGCTTTTTACAGTTGGTCCCTGCTCTCTCTTGCATTTTTGGTTGTTAACAAGTGACTCCATAAAGACGAAGCTGTTTTCACTTCCTTAAGAGCTACCTCCTGTTTTCTTTTAAATTGAAGCGATAGCCTATTATCACGAGTAATGACGAGTAATGACGAATGCGAAAGTTGGGGGAGTTAAAACTTTTTATGAGCCAGATCTTATCTGATTCATCACTCTTATAAACTGTAAATGCTTTAAAGAGCACAGCTTTTAATAGATTACTAAGTAAGATTAGTGCATTTGTCCTCTTTTCTTCACTGACTGCACTTACACCGTAACGATGGATCGAGGTTCTGCTTTTTAAAAGTAATTCCCGGGGCCCAATCTTGAGATCTTCTTTTAGCTCCAGTGGATCTTCTTTGTTCAGTCCACTTCCAGGAATGGGTCCCTGGTGATTGGGAAGGAAAGTCTGAAAATTATGTTATAGTACAGCGATGGGCAATGTTTTTGGGCAGTGCCAAAAACACCTGCAAACTCAAATTATGCCGGGGTAGACGATGGGGGAGTCTTGAGGGGCCTGATAATAGTTGTGGTAGTGCAGCCCTGGCCCTTTCCCCACCATCTGCCCTTGCCAGGCAAAATGCCTTTGTGTGCCACGCTCTGGCACCTGTGCCAGGGAATGCCCCATTATAGCAATTGCCCACCCTGTTATAGTTGTTGAATTCCCCATGTAAGCTAGGATGGCAGGCATTCATCAAGAGCTATGTCCTCAGATGATGTACTTCTGCTGATATAATTAATTTATCCCAGCTGAAGATCTCAAATTTACCACTCCAAAGTGCAAGTATGTGTGCAGTTATATATAAGCAGGCTAGCATTCTGTGTATTGCTCGGCCTAGCTGTGGCTGATGTTGGTATAGGATGCTCCAGTAGAAGTTTGGACGTAGAGATGGATTAACATTGTCCATTGACAGATTTTTTAACCTTACCTCCAGTGGTTGCCTTGCCAGTGGAGAAACAACGTTTGCTGGGGTTGCCATGCAACAGGATCTGAGATACTAAAGACCAGGAAAGTTTCCTAATGCCTACCTTTGTATTAATAATTTTTTCTGCATGTTTTGTATATATTGCCAATTTTTTCTGAGTAAGTAGGCATATGCCTGCAAAACAGAGATGAGAACGTACCTTAATGAGCCTGCTCCAATGAACATGCAAGATAGATATCGGCAAACAAGCAGAAAGAGAGCATGTAGTTTTTCATTCACTCGCAGCTGCTGGCATCTAGTACAGAAGCTTTGGCCAGACATGAAAGAGGGGGATGTCACGAGGTAGCAGGCTGCGTGGTGGTTATGTAAGGTCATTCATTGGTATGAAGACTAACAGGTGCATTATAGTTCTTGTTATGGGTTCCTCCCATAACGATCACAGCCTTGGAGGAATTCAGTAACCTTCTTTGTCTGCAAGGCTTATGCTTCAGTACATCTGTGGCTTGAGCGTTGGGCGAAAGTTACTGATTGACCGTACAGCTCAGATGGAAGACAATGCATGACTTATTGGGTCCTGCTGTTGAGTGTTGAGGTTTGCATACTAGTACTCAGAAGGGGAGCAACAGAGATCCCGTAGATAGATACAGGCAGCCATTAACGAAGATACTAGGAAGTGGTTAAAAAAAATATCCTACCTTACTCTAGATTATAGGGCCTTGGAGTTTTATTTTCACTGATGTCTGGTGTAATTTACTTTCTCTTGAGACGCAGGTAGAATTTCTGAGATAATTTACATTTGAAAAATTGTAGTGGGCTGACAGATGAGAAATAATGGCCTATTTTTGCATTTGTTATTATATTCAGTATCCTGATGTACCACAAAAAAAATTAGTTCACGCATTTATTATTGGATTTCATCTGCATGATGGTGTCTTGAGTCAAAAGTATCTCATTATGCTGATGGATTCATTTTTCCCTCGCTTTTATTTTATATATTTATTATTATTTTTTTTTGCTTTCTCTTTTTTTTCCAAAACAGGAAGAGAAAATCCATTCAGGACAAACTCTTCTTCATGTAAGTGTTATTTATGCTGATTTACAAAGTTACAGAAGGATTAAAAAATTATTAGGATGTTCAAATACTAAACACTTACCATCTGTTCATAGAAACCAAGTAAAGAGCATATAAAAAACAACTGTGATTGCACAATAATGCTCTACTGTTATTTACATCTATCTAAGCAGTTCTGTTGTGCACATCAATGCAGTATCCATTACAAAGTACTTTGCAGACATTGAGGGGTTCATTTGCACAACATGCCTGTGAAGCAGGTATGTATTATCATTTCACTTAAGAGATGAGGGGAAGCATAGTAATTAAGTGATTTGCCCCAGGCCAAAGATGAGTCAGTGTCAAAGCACACTCTAAAACTCAGGCTCCCTAGTTTCCAGTCCAATGCTAAGAATAAGCTTCTCTTTCTTGGATTCTTCTACAGAATCCAAGGTCTGTCTGTAAAGTTGTTTGTGTATGTTTGTGTGTGTGTGGCCTCAAATAGCAAAGAGATATTTCAGGCCTTTTCTACCTATGATGGTACCTACTAAAATACCTAAGAGTAAATCCCACCAACCATTGGTGAATATTGTTGCAAATGTTTTGTGAAGACATTTGCCTCCAGACTAAATGCTCAGTCTCAGAGAGGCCAATGAGCCTTATGTAGTACTCTGCATAGACCAAGTAAAGCTGCATGTCATGGAGTTCTGCAGTTCTGCACATCGCCTAGTGACTTGTTTTGCTTGCAGATCTTTGATTTTAAAACTCTTGGTAATAAAGTAAGCTCTGCTCAGTATCTCTTCCCCGGAAGTAAATGCCTCGATTAAAAATATTACTGCCTTAACTAGGAAAATGACTGCATTGTTCACAATGCAAGGCCCGCTTTGCCTAACTTGGAAGCATGCACTGTTGTCAAGCCGCATGGCAAACCCACGAGCATTGACATCAAGCCAGTTACTCATGCATCAACATTTTTCAGAAAATAACAACATATCTCTGAATTACAACGTTACATTATTCTTGCTAGCAACTGCTGGTTAATATACAGCAAAATGCTGTGTGGTAACAAATGGTTTTTGCTATTGTTGGGCTGAAATGTTAGTTCAGCTTTTAGATAAAGAGCAGCTTGCGCACTGAGCCCTTGTAGATCATCATTTCTATGGCTAGTACAGTAGTTGTGTAGACAACTGTGTTCTGCTGTTCATCTTTCCTATGCTACCCTTCATTTTCCATTTTAAATTAGAGGTGGGTTCAGGTATATTCAGCGATGAGGGCCTCTTTGAACCCAGCAGAATATAACTGCATGGGTTTAGATTATCTCTGTTGTTAATCCAAAATCCATAGATTTTATTTTATTCCAGTTGTTTTTCTGTCAGAAATGTCATAATAATTTTATTTTGTGTCTTTGAATTCATTATTGGTTGGTGTTACGGAAATCAGTAGGGCTACCAGTTAGTGATGAGTTGTTGTTTTTTCCAATGGAAAAGATGATATATAAAACTTACTTACAGCAATTAAAAAGAGTTGCCCCTCCCCATACAGATACGCTAAAAACTTAGACTAGAGTAGAGCTTGTACCTTTCAGGTGGTACATTGCCACTTTTAAAAGACAACAGCGACAGAAAAATTGAAGGTGTCATCTTGTTAGCCCATTTCTCATCATCACAGGCCTCCCTACTGTACAAATTCAGACCTCTTGAAAAGAGGACAAAGAACACGCATCTCCCCAGATTTTTAAAGAGGAAGCACCGTGGTAAGAAAAAATATCTTTAAATAAAGAGGATTCAAAGAGAGGAGGAGGAAAAAATACATGATGGTGTGATGACCTTGAGTTGCAGCCTAGAATCTGGAGCCCATTGGAATGCAGATTTAAAGCTCTCTCTCTTAATTTTGACACCATAAATGGATAATTGAAAGCTCCATAACTGCAATGTTTACTTTAAAATGGATCAGGAATATAAATTTATGGCCGGTGGGCCATATATACATTACAGCCTTCCACCACCTGCCGTAGGCAAGCTGCCAAAGGCAAGCTTTAAGCAACAGAGCCTCTTTCCTGGTTCTGTGTGTGAAGTATTCTCTCTCAGATTTGACGTCTACATCTCTGCCTGTCTGTAATTGCTATATGTGTGCCTCGGTGCATTGGCTCCCTTTGGCTTCTTCAACAGTATGAATTTCCAAAAGAGAGAGAAACTCCAGGGATGTGAATAGAAAGACTATTGTCAAGTGCCGGGATGGTGAGACTTGCGGATAGAAACCTCTCCCAGGCATTGTGAACTTTCAGAATGGTGTAAATTCCCATGGATATGAATTCTCAGATCGGGATTAATCCCTGTGGATTGTGAATGATCAAAATGAGACTCTTCGGTAAAGTTAAACTTTCAGAACTTAAGACCCCCCCCTCAGAATGTGAACTTTCCAAAGGATATAAAAAGCTCAGGGATTTTGAACCTCAAGTGGTTCATCCCTCAAATATAAGTACATTCTCAGAAGTTCCTTCGTCAGGAATGGGTCTCCAGACACAGGAAATATATGAAGGGTCACGTGGCAGGAAGTGGCCATTTTGCAAAAGGACTCTTTGTGACAATAACCAGGCATTTGTATTATAATGATAAGAAAGGGACCATCTTATTCTTGTCACTTTGCGACAAATACTACCACGATTCATTACTTTCCATCAGTGCATCATCCTATGGAGGAATCACCACTGCCTATCCACATTGAGGAGGGGACAGAAGTCCCGATTGGTGAGTGCAGTTGGGACGGGTATATGTAAGGGGGGGGTTATGATGGTATATGGATGTATATGACTCACTTTTGTGTGTACCCATTTGTCACTGAATATTCTAGGAAGTATTACCAATGCTTTTTTAAAAATAATAATAATAAAAATCTAGTGTATTCTAGTGTTTATGTTACATGGCCAGTATTGGTTCTTGACTGATCCACAGAGAAGATACTGCAGGCACAGTGGTTTAGTAAGCTTCCATCATACATTGTCCAAGTAGTATCTCTTAACACAGACTTGGAACAGCCACCAATAAGTGTTAAAAATAAGGGTAGTTAAACTCTATGCCCTTTCAGCGTTTGGCCTCAGTACTGAGCTTCCCAGAACTGTGCCAACTGGAACTGCCATTTTCTGCAATGTAGACACTGCCCCATCAGGAACCCAACAAACTCATTTTGCATTAGTCGCTGAGCAGTCAGCAGTGTCACAACTTTGTCGTTATTATCCTCAGTCGGATTTCATTTGAGGCCAAATGCTCTATATCCCAAACCCATGAGCTACCATGTTATGGATGTTTTTGGGATGACTAAAGAAAGGACATGAAAAGACCTCTGTGGGTTTTAGAGGGCTATGTTAACATCCCTTCCCCTAGCCTCTTATTTAACCTATTTTTCAATGTCTTTGGCCGCTGTGCCTTGGCCACCTCCTTTAGGAGTATGGCATTGTCTACATGCAGTGCTTTTAAAAACCTTTTCTTATTCTCCAATCTCAATTTTTCCATCCTTAATTTCAAGCCGGTTGCCCCCTCTCCTGCCATCTTTGAGGTGGAATAATAATTTTGCTTCACATGTATTAACTTCAAGGTATTTATAGTTGGATCATGGCCTATAGAGTCTTCTCATTTCCAGATGACATTAATTTTAGTTCCCTTCAACACTCCTTGGATCATTTTTACTTCTCTTACTTGTATTTCCTGTAATTTTTCTATATTCATTGTAATTCATGGAGACCAGAACAGCACATGATTCTCACTACAGTTGGCCTAGCATGGCATTGCACTTTAGATTTCTATGAGCCCCTTATACACACATCCAAAAACAATACTGGCTTTTGTTCCCCCACTCCCATTTCTTTCAGCATCATCACACTGAGAATCTGTATTTCATGCCTGCAAACACGCTTAGGTCTTTCTCAGATTCACTGCTTTGCAGCTAGGTGCCGCCCCGTTTGTCTATGCTATTTATTTCCTCTCCCTAGAAGTAGGACTTTGCGCTTATTGGTAGCAAACCTCATCTTGTTGCATGCAGCCTTCCCATTTCACTAGGGCTTGATTTAAGATAGCCTGTCTTTGCGCTTAATTTTAATGCACTCAGATTTATCCTATCTTTCATAATGCAGTCATTACTGGTTTACTATCCATAGTTCAAAGGATTGAGATACTTAACATTTCATATTTAGATATACCTACAATGCATTTCCTCTGCCTCTTATTTCAAACCCTATTCCTGGCCCCGTCGTTCTTGTCTACATACCTACCCTTACTTTGCTTTGTTAGTTAAAAATATACAAACTGGTATGTTTAGCATTCTTCTTTTCTTCATGTTGTATTTTTTTCCTGTATAATTACCATATTGTTGCTATACGCCTTACACACATGGTAAGTGGTAACTCTTCATATGGCAGAGATAATCATTCCTCAATTCTATTGAGGGTCTACTCAGTGGAACAACTGAATGATGACAGCCCACTCTGATAGAGCCATTTAATCTGAGCATTTCATATATATTTGGTGTTTTCATCACATCTCTTCCGTTGCCCTGAGGAAGTATGGACTGCTGGGATGGTGGCATCTGAGCCAAGACTGAAATTTAAAAAGTTTGATGCATGACACAAACCAGCCAAACAAAAAAAAAACTGTGAGTGAAAGATTTTCATATGATGTTTGCTCAGTGCTGTCATGCAGTGCATTTCCTCGATGGTGCACTGAGTTGCAGTAGTAGCTATGAAACTTTCTGCTGGATCTGGACCTGGACCTGGATCGTGCCAGAACAGAGGTGATCATAAAACATTTTAATATTTGTCTGTATTGTCAACATAACAGCCTGTAGTAAGGAGGAAACAGCGGGAGTGGGAGGAGGATGGGGGGGTGGGACGACAAACATCAGTGATATCTGAAGAGTTGTAAAATTGGATATTTGAATACCCAAAGAATTGGATCTGGGGTTTTTGACTCATAACTTATTGTGCTGTGGTGTTATACCTACATCTGGGTCCAGATACTAATCCCACCCTCCTTTCAAAGGTGCTGGAGTGATTCAGATTGAGGCTCGCATGTGAGAAAAATAACTTAGTAATTGATCATATACACATGTATATATGCACATATATATACACTGTAGTCATGTGGTTGTTAAAACAATCGATTGGAGTATCCAGTTATTTTTAAAGTCATTTTGAGAATAATGTTATTTGCTAGTCTGGAATCTTATTTAAATTACACTTTAAAATTACACTGTTTAATGTGTCCCAAACCTGAGTGATGATACCAAGTCACTTTGCAAGTCACATAATTTGATGCAAAGGAAATGCAAAAGTAATCAGTTGGTTCCTTTTTTCAGAAGCAAAATTTAACAAACTGGTTATTTAAAGTCAATAAAAAGGAACATAAATCTACAACAATTACAAATAATGCAGCATAATGATACAGAAATACAGTGGGAGCCAACCTCTTTGGTAGGCATGCCAGAAATTAGCCCTGCACCTTTCTGGAGTGCCAGTCAGATCCCCTCTCACTGCCTGATCTGTTGCTCTGTTTTCTGCACCCTAACCTGTGCTCCCTGTCTGATTTTTCCGCTGTGCTTCATGCTTCCAACCCTGTGCTCCCTGCCCAATCTGCTGCTCTGCTTTCTGCTCTTTGCCTTCTCTGCCACTCTTCTTCCTGTCCCCTTCCTCATCTACTGTATTCCACACACAAAGGCTACCCATCCCTCACGGTGGCATACATGCCATGGCCACTTCAGCAGTAATAACACATTATCAGGACCAAACTCTGTGTCCTCAGTGGCATGCTATATAGGGCCTCTGAGTTGAGGAAAGGGAGGTTATTAATACAGAGTGTTTTCATCTTGATGAGAGATGTTGGCATTTTTGCATAGCTGAATTAAAAACTTTTGATCAAGAAAATGTCTGGTTCTACTCTTTCTTGATAAGCTTTTGAACTCTTTTTTTTTAATACATTCAAGGGAAAGGCAGCTGAGCTAAGTGTGGACAATCATGTTAAATAAAGGCACTAGATGGAAAAGTAGTAACTAAGAAACATCAAAGGGAGGTGGTTTTACATAGCAGTACAACAGAAAGTAAAGACTAATGGTAAAAGGAGCACATCCTGGCAGCCTTTGTTCAAGCATACACACCAGCTGACTTCTGTTCTTGCCACACAATCAGTTTAGTAAGCTCAGGGTAAAACAAAACAGAATTGATTGTTATTTGTTCTTATTTATAATAAGGCCATGCCCAAATGCCTGAGTCTGCATTTGGGGGTCTGTTATCCTAGACAAGCAAATAACAGCCACAGAAGATGGCACAGTCTCCTGAAGAGAGATTGCAATAATTAATTGTCATGATTGCAGTAAGGTTATTGGAGCTGTGCAGGGCTGGGGAACACCACTGGGGCCATCACTCTCCCATGCACTTGAAGAGCCATAGGGCTGTAGGAGAAGGTGTTTAGTTATATTTCCACACTACATTTATGATGTTAATGCTCTAGAAGTTGTCAGAATTCCCTTCCAGAGAAACTCAAATTGAGCACGCAGCTCCCTGTTCATGTTCACCTGTGAATCTTGATTTCGGTGGCACTGCTATCGTTTTACCTTTGTGTGAGGGAGATGAGTCAGGTCCTCGGTTTCCATTATAAACACAGGGCCCATCTTATAACCCAGACTTATGGATTACTTCTCCCATTGGTCCACATTCAGATTTCAGTGGCACAATTATAGAGCTGACGTTACTGCTGTTTTTAGTGGACTCATTCCAAATATTAACTTCTGTCATTTAGGCCCTTCTTACACGGGATAGAAATACTTTTTTAGGTTTTTTTCTGTTTACTTACCTAAAAACGATAGAAGCTTCTGCCTAGACACAAAGTAACACACTTCAGTTGCGTACACAAGATTTTAAAGCAGAATTTTGCCCTAAACACATACATTTGTACCTGTTCTGTCTGACTATGCCGACAGGCATCTCTAGGCTCTTGTTAGCATTACGTTTGTCCCAGAGCTGTCTACCAGTGCTTATCAGGCAGAGCGGGTGTAGAGATACATCATCTTCCCTCCTAAGTCTATGCCCTGTATTTCTACGCCAGGTTGTTTGGTTTCTGAAGGTAAGAGCACAACTTGTGTCACATGTTCTGAAGGATTAGCTCCTTCATGGTAATGCTGGCACATTGAGGGCTTGATCTTGCCATGTAGTAAAAGCCTTTTGCTAGAGGTGCACTGATTATATCGGCTGCCTATCAGATAGGCACCAATAAAAGGGGAAATGACATTATTGGCTACTAGCTATTTTCGGCTGTTGAAGCTGACAATATTTATCGATAATTATGCCTTCTGGCCAAGGCACTGGACATCTGGGTTCCCTGTCCCCTGCAGGACCGCAGCCCCCCAGATGCCTGGGTTCCCTTGGGAAACAGTGAGCAGCATTCTAGCCTGCAAGGGGTCCTGCTTGGGGCTGCCTGGAGTGAGACTTGGGGGGTACCATGTGCATGTGCACAGCTGCACGCATGCACATGGCCAGGAGCACAGCCAGGCAGCATGGAGAGCAGCTCCTTGCAGGTAAGTCTGTGGAGGAGAAGGGGCATGGGGGGTGCAGATTGAGGCCCCCATAGTGAGGGAGGGAGTGGGGTAGGGGCTGGGGGTGCTGCCCACCCAGGACAATTCATGGGACCTGGGGCCAGTGCAGGGTGTGGGACAGAGCCAGAGGCGGCTCATCCAGAGGGCGTGGTGGGGCAGCTCCCAGCCACAG